TTCTTTTCTGAACTTCACCCCGAGCCCCATCAAGGCATCGGGGTCACATTTCAAAGATTGTCCGGGAGTGCAGTTGAACTCTCTGACGCTGTTTTGGACCTCTCTTGGGTCCTCGTCGTGTCCTCTTGGCTGCCCCGGAATAAGGCCGTCAAACATCGAGGTCCCATGAGTTCACCGATCCAGCCTGGCTAGAACTTCAGCGCGCGTCAAGAAGGAACAAAAAGAGAGGACATCCTCAAGCCTTTTCGAACGCTTCGATTTACGATGGTTGCACAGCAGTCCTGGTTCTAGTAGGGAAGAAATGCTTTGCCTCAAGGTGGCCCCAACGTTCTCCCAAAGGCTCTCGAGGCGCCCCCCAGATGCCTTCAGAGACTCCCGGGAGGCTCCGAGGAGGCACCAAGCTTTCCAAGAGGCCCCGAAAGACACCAAGGACGCCACGAGCATGCACCCAGGAGACTTCTCACCCACAGCCCAGGCCCGGCAGTTCCAAAACGTGGAAGTTCCACAATTCGTTATCTTTTCTGGTTTAAATTCGACCCGACCCCCCGGATGGGCTCCAATCGGCGTCACCCCAACATACTTATACTACATGTGCGTCGCCCCCTCAGGGGCGACGCGCGCACCGAGAAATCTTATAGTATATGCGTCGTGGCGGGCGCTTTCTGGCCACACCGCTCGGGAAACGATATATTACAAGATAGGTATACTATATGTTTGGGTCGGACGCGCGCCTCCAAGGAGAACAAATAGTACTAGTATGTCCTTGTGCCTCCCATCCAAATCATCGAAAACCTGAAGGCACTTGATGGTTGCTGCGTTACCGAATTTTTCCCCTTGAGAAACCTCCGAGGCCTGAGCAGGGCAGGGCCTCCAAGACCGTCCCCAGATGCACGGAACGTCAACACTCGAGATTTTATGAGTTCGCCGATCCAGCTAAGCTAGAACTTCAGCGCGCGAGAAGCGCGCGATGCTTCTAGTGTATATATACATATACATATATATATATGTATATATATGTACATATTTATATGTATGTATACATGTATCTTTACAGAGCGAGGAACTTGTCAGGGACATCATGCAGAAGCTCGACCCCCAGCTCAGGAGCATCGTGCAGGCACACCCCGAGCTTACGCCGAAGCTGCGGGGGGCCATCGACGAGGAGCTGAGCACGAGAGGGCCCACGATGACGCCGCAGGCTGCGCAGGAGTTCAAGGCGGGCCTGATGGGAGAGCTGGAGGAGACCAGTAACGGGCCTATTTCCCACGACTTGAGAGAGAGAGAGAGGGGATAGAGACAGAGAGAGACTACAGAAAACAGTGACTCGATCATCGTCTTTGGAATTGCGCGTGCTGCTCAAGAGCATGATTCACGCTTCGCGTATCCTACCGGCGGTTCGGCACCTTCCTCATCGTGTTCCCTGAGCCGCAGTGTGGTGTCCTTCGCGCCATTTTGGCCGCGCCGAGCTCCGTCCCGCTGTGTGCCTGGCGCGGCTCGCATTTTTGTTATTCCTTCAGCCGGTGGCACAGCCTGCCCTTGCTTGCCCGGCGTTCGACCCGTTTCGCGCGCCCGCGTACCGAAAATCCCGGCCGGCCGTTCAGGAACGTTGATCACATGAGAGCTGACGCGGGAAGCGACGAAGAGGCACACATAGTACAAGAGAGCGGGCAGGCAGGAGGAACAGAGAGATTTTTGGGAGCAAGGGGGTGGCCTTGGAGGGCCTCTCCGGGCCATCCTTGCGGCCTTTGAGCGAGGATGGGGCGAACCGCCTCTCGGGCCCTCGTGCGGCGCTCTCGTGGCCGTCTTGGGGCCGTCGTGGGGCCTTCTTGCGGCCCTCTTGGGGGCTCTCTCGGGGCCCTCTCGGGGGCCTTGCGAGGCCCCCTGGGGTCATCTTGAGTAGGGCGTCGATAAAGGGGGGGGGGTCCTAGATTTCCCTCTCCTCCCCGGGGCGATCAAATGCCCCTCTCTGGGCGCTCTTGGGTGCTCTTGGAGTCTTTATGGGGGCATCTTGGGCCCCTCCCAGGGGCTCTCTTGGGCCATCTGGGCATCTCTTGAGCCTCAAAGGCGCATCGGAAGTGGAAGTACGAGAAGGCACGAAATCATAGATTTAGTTTAGTTTTTTGAAACATATGGGCATCTCGGGAGGGTCCGGGGGGGGGGCTCTGGGAGAACCTGGAACAGTTTTGTGGCCCTCGTCGGGACCTTGGGAGGCATGTCGGAAGTTCTCTTCGGCTATCCTGAGTCGCCTTGGAGGCCACCTTGTAGCATCGGGTGCCCTCTTGGAACCATCTTGGGCCAAAAAGGACCCTCTGCCAACTCGCGGTCCGCGCCGAAATCAACCTCAGGGAGGAGAGGGGGAGGGTACCCCTCCACAGTGGAAAGAGAATTTTGGAAAAGAAAGAACGATACCGCTAGACCACCTTAGACCAGAGGGCTGGTGGGTTTCGTACAACATCTGGGCATTTCTTTAACGGCGACGTGTTGATGGTGTCGTCCTACTTGCGTGACATTGTTATTGTCGTTTTCCTCATTCATTCGGCTTTCCTGTGGAATTCGATTCCCCAGGCAGTAGGGATTCTTTTTGTTTTCTGAGGAGCTGGGCCGTGTGAGCGGTTTGGCGGTTATGTTCTTGCCGTCGCCGCCCCGTCGCTGCTTCGTCGTCGCCCGTCGTCTGGGCCGTGTGGGCGGTCTGGCGGCTATGTTCCTGCCGTCGCCGCCCCGTAAACGCCTCGTCGCCGCCCGTCGTCTGGGCCGTGTGGGCGGTTTGGCGATGATGTTCCGGTTGTCGCCGCCCTGTCGCCGCCGTCGCCGCTTCTGTTCGCCGCCTCGTCGCCGCCCGTCGCCGCCGTTGGATTGACCACGTAGGGTGCGGCATAAAAAGAAGGTGCCTGCGGCTCGCTTGTTGATCGCTCACAACATGGAATGAGCCACATATAGTGCACAACGTCGATTGCACAACATGTACTGCATATCCACAGATTGCCGAGCCATATATATATATATATGTATATGTATATGTATATTGTCTCACATAGGTTGCACATGGAATATTGCACGGCGTAAATTTCACAGCGTAGATTGCACACGATAGATTGCACGACGCAAATTTCACAACACAAAATATACCACATACATTGCACAACATAGGCTACTCGACAAAGAGCGCACAACATAGATTGCACCATGTACATTGCACAACATCGATTGCACAACATCGATTGCACCAGATGGACTGCACCACGTATATTTTCCTTTCTAAAATAGTATTAGATATTACCCCCCTGGAATTAACGGTTCACCTTCTCGTATTGTAATTGACATACGGTTTGGCCCCATCGTCCATCCGAAATAAGAAATCATACCATCCCGGGCAGGCCGTTATCCGCCTCCTTCTGATCTTCTGCAACAAATGTTGTGTGCGCACATCAAAAATCAGGAATGTTGAAGACTCCCTTGCAAAAAAAAGACGAAGTGCACACGCGCGCGTCGTCGCGCGCGCATGCCCGAATCTTTCAAAACTCTAGGTTTCGGAAAGATTTCAAAATTGAGTGTTGTCCCGAAAAGAAATAAAAACACATGGGGTCGCAATAAGAATTTTCTAAGAACAGCTTGCGTTCGGGTCCTTGCGAATTTTTGCGAAAACCATCGGTTTACCAACATGTTCAGTACTTCCTACCAAACGGGCCTTTCGCGCGCGCATGTCGGAATTTCGCTCGAACGCCTCTTCGCGCGTGCTGTCACAAGAATCCCTTGCAACAAATGGGACGAAGTACGCTCGCGCGCGTCGTCGCGCGCGCATGCCGAAATCCTTCAAAGACCCTAGGTTTCCTAAGGAATTCCACATCGTGTGTCCGGGAAGCATATGAACAACATGGTTTCGCAACGCCAGTATACAAACATGTTTGCGTTCGCGCTCCTGCGAATTCTTAAGAGAACCATCGGCCTTTCAACATGTTCAATCAATTCGGCCAGCGGGCCTCTCCGCAGGTCGCAATCATTCGAATGCCTTTGCGCGCGTGCGGGGGGGGCACGATCCGCGCCAAGAAAGAGGACTCCTTGTACAGTGCCGTTTTTAATTCATGTTTCTGAGGAGGGCGGCGGTGATATCCATGGCCCAGTCCAGGTTGGTGCCCCACCGGCTGTCCAGACGCTGGATTCCTGATCCCAGCGGTTTCTTATCCAGTGCCCTTACCGTACTCCAGATGCCCGCGGACTCCAGACTTTTGCCGCCCGCGCTGCAGCCCACCACACACACAATTTTGCAGTAAGATCACGAATTCTGCATAATCGCAACGTCTGTGAACGAGGCATTGCGGTACGCAAGGTTAACAATTCAGATTCTGATGCCGAATTCAGTGGTCGAGTGTCTCCTGCGGCATGCCATTCGCTGCAACCGCAGAGATGCGAACAAAATACTTGCACCTGGAACCGCTGCGGACGGTCGATCCGTGATCTGACCATGGCGTTGGGCGCATCATGCGTTCGTCAAGGAAAATGTGTGGGCAGTCGCACACAATCTGCAAATTCATCCAGCGAAAATGAGACAGCCGTCGTTATATCACATTACTAGTCTCAAGTACTGTCTGGACGCATCGACTTCGGACTGTCGTTTGAAGCCCTCCCGTAAAATATTTCACGTAGTTAAGCGTCTTCGCACGCCGTCCGTTTTGATTCAGGAATTTGCACTGAGCAAGCATGTGTCGGATCACGGCGATTCGAGCACGCTGGACCACTGAGCAGTGAGAGAGCATACCGAGCATATCACTCCTGAAGTCATGAAGGGTGCAGGCCCAACGAGGGGGGGATCAAAAAGCCTTGAGGCCCAGTCGACACGACGACTGTGCGCATCAACGATCAGATCTAGCCACTGATGCTTCGAACATCACGGGGTAGATGAGGGCGATGGCCTCGGGCAGGCAATGCCGACACAGGATTCCAGAAGCCATCAAGAGGTCGTCCACGTGCCGTGCAGATGCGACGATTCCTTCCCATGCGTAGCGGCCAAAATCAAGACGATGCACACGCTGCCGCTCGGTGGACGATTCGAACGTCCGCTCAGCGTGACAAAGTACGAGGCCGCCCATGAGTGGACCGTCCATGCGAGCAACGGCCGACCCCACTGCACAGAGCGTCATGGATCAGAAGGCCTCGTGCGTAGAACGAAGCCAGACTGTGCATCGGCCGTATCGGCGACAGCCCAGGCAGCAGTCATCACCGCGTTCGTGTGAGCAGCCTCGAAAAACTGTCCTGCACCCGCGACGACTGTCCAGGGATATGTTGGTCGCTGGCGACGGGGGCAACGGGGGCACACACACACACATGTTTCTTCGCCGTTGCTGCGGTGACTGCGCCTTAGCGTATGGTGGTCCCTAGTTTTCCCGACCCCTTCCCCAGCGCCAGATTTTCATTTCGAGTTGCTCTTGCGTTGTCCTGGGGCCCAGCGAGGGCCCCCGGAGGCCGAAAGCGGACAAACATCGCTTGTTTTGAGTTGCTTCACGACGCGGGCATGTCCGGGCCCTCGAGGAGATGAACCAGTCGGTGAAGAACAACCCGGCGCTGCTCGCCATGATTACGCGGCGGCTCGACCAGGGCGGCAGGGCGGTGGCCGCCGCCGCCGCCCCGCCCGTGCCTGCGCTCGCGGTGGCGCTGCTGCAGAGGCCATGTGGGGCAGCGGCAGCGGGCCGCTGCACGAGGAAACCAAATCAATCCCAAGCCTTGGCATCGCTCGGACGTGTGCATCCTTCCTTCGGCGAGGACCATCGAGGAGCATCCTTGATCATTTGGCGAAAAAACCACGCACCAAACCGAAAAAAAAACACAGGGAATGGACGTCCGAGCGATGGCCAGAAACCCAGAGGATGGCCGGCTGAGACAGCGGTAGTTGGCCATCGGGGGGCTCCTCGTCGCTCGCGGCTGGGCGTGGCTCGGAAGCCGGGTGCGTTTGTACCCCGGGAGGGTTCCAGGCCCCGAGTTTGAGTTGCTGCTTCATGGTTGCAGGTCGCTCCACTAGCGGAAACGTAAACGTTCGAACCCCCGCGCGGATTTCTTGGATCTGCGCCGGGCCTCCCTGGCGGCGCAGCCGCGGCGGCGAGGGCCCCCCAGGAGGCAGGAGGCCCAAGGAGGCCAGAAGCTATGGAAGTGTGGCGGTGGCGGTGCGCCCCGCTGCCTCCCCAGACATGCGACGTCCTGATTTTTTCAATACGGCGTCACCGGAAGTCCAGACCCTTTCCCTCGCGCCGCTTTGTCATCTTGAGTTGTTTTTTGACGGTCCCTGGGCCCGGCGAGGGCCCCCAGGGGCCGAAAATACGAAAACATTGCCGTCCTGATTTCTTTACGACGCGGTCATGTCTGGGTCCCGCCTTCTTCCCCCCCCCCCCCCCCCCGGGTCCAGCTGGGCGCAGGCAGAGTGACGCCGGCGCATGGGCGCGAGAGCCCAGCGCGTCTCGCCGCCTTGGCTGCTATGGGTGTCCCCTCCCCTGTCGCCTCCTCGTCTGTTCCCCCCTCCGCGCGCGTATATTCTTTCCTCGCTCCGCTCCAGCCCCCCTCCCCGTCTCCACCCCCCTCTCATGATGGGCTTGTTTTCCACCACTGCCACCACCAAAAGTTGGAGGGGGAAGAAGGAGGAGGAGGATGAGAGGAGATGGACGAAGAGGAGGAGGATGAGGACGGGGAGGAGGAGGAGGAGGAGGAGGAGGAGGAGGAGGAGGAGGAGGAGGAGGAGGAGGAGGAGGAGGACCCCCTCCCCCTCCTACTCATGATGGCGGCGGTGGACAACAGCCCGCCAGTTTCCGCCCCCTCTCAGGCGAGGGCGCCCCGGCGCGCGGGCTGGCCGGGCGGCCCGCCGCTGCAGCGGCGGATCCCTGGCCGCGTTCCTGTGAGGGCCGCCCCCCGTCCGTCGCCGGGGGGGGGACCGCGCCGGGGCGGCGCGCCGCGCGAGCGAGCGCGGGCGGCGCCCGGCTGCCGCGGGGCCAGCCTGCAGGGGCAACGCTAATTAGGGGGGGGGGATCAGGGGGGGTCCGAGGCGCGAGATTGTCCAGGGTTTTCGCCACGCCTCAAAGGTTTCCCGGCCTCGGGGTGCTCTCCGTCGGCTGTGCCTCGGCGAGGGCGTTCTGGGGGGTGCCCGGGTCGTCCCGCACCGGCCGTCGGAGGCCCGAGGCACGCACGGCCCGAGGACGATCCAAGGCGGGAATGGGCTCACACAGGAAAGAAGATCGCCGCGGAACGTTTTGCCCGTTTTCGGCCGCTGAGGGCCCTCGCCGCGTCCCGGGACGGTTGAAGAACGGCGCGGGATTCAGAGCGTGAATTACCTACCCCGCTTTCGCTTCCAGGCAAAACCAAGCCGTACCACGCGCCTCTTCGTCAAGCGGCCTGACCAGTACAGGCTGCAATTTGGCATCGTTTGGTATCTCTTGGAAGCGAGGGTGGTCAAAAGCGAGGTAGGTTTGTTTTCCCCCAAGGGACAGCAGTCCCGCCCATGGGGAGGGGGCCGGGACCACTGGGGGCCCCGTGGCGGAACAGTCAGGACGCCGCATATGTCCGCCCGCCCGTCGCCGAGGGCGGCCCGCGAGAGCCCGCCCCGCCCGGGGAGCGTGCGGTTTTTCGCCGTCGCAGGGGCCCGCCGCCGATCCATCGGCGATGCGTGGCGCCGGTGCCAGTTCGAGGGGTCCCCCCATCGTCTTGGCATCGCTCCCCAGACCTCGGGCGTCTCGAAAAAATCGACACAAAGGTTTTTCATCGTTTTCGGCCTCTGGAGGCCCTCGCCGGGCCTCGGGACCGTCAAAAAACGACTCGGGATGAAAAACCGGTCCCGGGGAAGTGGTCGGAAGGTTGGGGGCCCGTGTCTCGAAAAAATCGAGACGTCGGATGTCTGGGTCGGACGTGTGCATTTTTCCCTTCGGGGGGGACCATCGAGGAGCATCCTTGGTCATTTGGCGAGAAAACCACGCACGGAACCGAAAAAAGCGCACAGGGAACGGACGTCCGAGCGATGGCCAGCCCTGAGCTGCCCCCCCCCCCCATCGTTCCCCCTCACGCCCCCGCTGGCCGCAGCGCAGGCGGCCACCAGGCGGGCCGCGGTCGCTCGGCTCGGCGGCTCGCCGTCGCTCGCGGCTGCGCGTCAGACTTCCGAGAATCCTGCGAAGACGAGGGCGGGCGCTCGTCGTCCCGGAGCGCATGGGGGCGGGGTGGGGGTTCGGGAGCCTTGGGACGGGGGTCAGCGCAAACGGGGGTCGGGCAGGGCGCCAGATTTTGCAGGACCCTGCAGAGCCAGGGCTGCAATGACCTGGGCTTGCGCGCAGGATCCTACCGATCGCAGTCAGTTGTGATCGGCCCCTTCCTGTTGCGACAACACGGGCTGTGTCGAAGACGCAGTATAGTAGCGGGCTGGCTGTCAACATAGCTTGGGAACGGATCGAACTCCTGTAGCTGAGCGCATTGCACTCTGGAAACCCAGTTGCGAGTTTGTCGAGCATCAGCGTCTTTGGAATCATATCTGCAAGACGGACGAGCTACGATTAGCCAGGACTACATTCACATCGGGCAGTGGATTCAGGACTGGAATTGTTCAAAGTTATTGGAACCACACCGTGATAAAATCTCACTAATGATTGGATGCGTAGGTATGTATGGGATGTGTTGTGTGACCCTTTGAGCGAACGATAATTATGCCTGGGCATGTGAACTCGGATTGTTCATTGCATCGGTCGCAAGTTCTACCCAACGAATATCGATACATACATACATACATATATATATATATACGTGTGTATATATATATATATATATGTACACGTATATCTTGCTTAGCTTCTCAAGCTGCAGCTAACAATCACGATGGCGGCCCTTGTAATTGTAAGTGTTAGGGACGCAGCGCTGCTATTCATTTGAAGTGCAGCTAATCATACATAGGTGCGGAACTTGCGACTCAGTATCAGGATTAGCGTTGTTTCTACCCTTTGCCGAAGCATACGACCTGGGCTCGCATGTATTACAAGTAATTGTTGGGAGCATGCCGTTGTTGCTTGCTTGGCCGCAACATATTTTTACAGATGCTAGCCAGCGTGGGCGCCAAACAGTGTTTCTAGCATTATATATTGTGCAATGCATGTTGTGCAGTCTACCTGGTGCAATCTATCTGGTGCAATATGTGTTGTGCAATCTATGCGGTGCGCAATACATGCGATGCAGTCGACGTGGCAGTCTATGTGGTGCAACCTATGTTGTGCAGCCAATGCCGTGCAATATATGTGGTGAAATGTATGTTGCTCAACCTCTGTTGGCCAATATGTTGTGTGCAATATGTATTGTGCAGCGTATGTTGTACAATCTATGTTATACAGTATGTACTGTGCAACATATTTGGTGCAATCTATTTGGTGCAATCCATGTGGAACAATCTCTGTGGCGCGCAATGTATACGGCGACGAGGCGGCGACGGGGATGCGACGGCGGCAACATAGCCGACAGACCGGCGGTCGGGCCCAGACGACGGGCGGCGACGAAGCGGCGAGGGGGCGGCGGCGGCGGCAGCATGGCCGCCAGACCGGCAGGCAGTCCCCGACGACGGGCGGCGACGAGTCGTTGACGGGGCGGCGACGGCGGCAACATTGCCGCCAGACCGGCGGACAGGCACAGTTCCTCAGAGAAGGAGCAAGAACCCATAAGTGCAAGCACTGCTTGGGCAAGGTTTTTGGAACCGTTGCCATGTAGTGGGGTTGCCCATGATGCTCATGAGTTCGGCAATGCTGTTGCAATATTGGAGCCCTGCATTCGGTGTGTTGCGGTTTCGGGCCCCTGGAAGCCTGCTTCCCGGGGCTCTGTGGGATCGAGCCCGCGTCTCGGTTCGTCCGATCTGAAAACGCAGGCACGGGCTGCCGCGGGAGCGGTCGAAAGCCGGGAGGGAAGGGAGGACGGGAGCGGAGGGCGGCTACGTCTCGGTGGCGGGCTGCGGGGTGCGGTGACAACGGCAGCGAAGGGATGTCTTTTTTGTTGTTCTGGATAGCCGGACCCTGGAGGTTTGATTTGGGCCCCAGGGCATTCTGAAGCCGAACCGCGGTGAAAAGCTCATCAAAAACAACAAAGCAAACTCCAAGGGATGTCGCAGGAACGAGGCGAAGAAGGGAGGAAGGGGAAAGAAGTGGAGGGACGCGGAGAGCGGCGGCAGCAGAGGCGCAGGGGTGGGGGAGGGTTCTGAAACGTGGGTCCCGTTCAAACTTGTTTCGGCCGCCAGGACTTCTTGAATAGAGCCACGTTGGAAATGCGAACTCACACGATTGGAAAACCGCCAAAGGCTAATGCAGGAGGACCGTACGGAACCGAGGGGAGTGAGCGGATGGCACTGCCCGCCCCTTGGGCTTCGTCTCGGCGGCGCGCCGGGGCTTGGCGGCAGCGGGGGTGGAATGAGGGAGTGTCCTGGAACGTCGGTCCGCGGGGGCAGGGGCTTTCTGAAGTCGACCCGCAGTGGGCTTGTGCGCGCATCTCTCGGCGAGGACACTCGAGGAGCTTCTTGGACCCTCGTGCGCAAGCAGGAACGCACGAAGCCGAGGAGTGCACGGGGAGTGGACGTGCGAGAGATGGCAGGGCAGCTCTCGCCAGACCTGGGAGAGAAGTCACCGGAGGCAGGCGGCCGCACGAGCACGGCGCGGGAGAGGGAACAGCGCGAAGGGGGGCGAGGGGGGCCGCGGAGGGCCAGGGAGGGCGGCGGCAGCAGAGGCGAAGGGGTTAAGTCGGGCCTGCCCCCCCCCTACCGGGGGATTTTCGACGAGAAAAGAAAAATTAGCCTGGCGAAGAACCCAACCCCTAATTGTAACGCGGGGCGACTAACGAGGGAGCAGAGGGCCCGACAGGCAACCTCGAAGGGCGGTAGCGATGGCACAGACCGACAGGCAAGGGCACGCAGGCCTGGTTCGTGGTCAATGCGTCAGGAGTGATCAGAAATGGTCGGGGCGGCCGCATGTGGACCCTGCCACTGGGGCCCTCGGTGGAGCTCCCTAGGGGCCAGGAACCGTGTGAGGGGTGTGCCGGAATGGTCGGGGCGGCCACATGTGGACCCTGCCACCGGGGCCTTCGGTGGAGCTCCCTGGGAGCCACGAACCGTGTGAGGGGTGTGCCGAAATGGTCGGGGCGGCCGCATGTGGACCCTGCCATTGGGGCCTTCGGTGGAGCTCCCTCGGGGCCACGAACCGTGTGAGGGGTGTGCCGAAATGGTCGGGGCGGCCGCATGTGGACCCTGCCACTGGGGCCTTCGGTGGACTTCCCTAGGGGCCACGAACCGTGTGAGGGGTGTGCCGAAGTCGTCGAGGCGGCTGCATGTGGACCCTGCCACTGGGGCCTTCGGTGGAGCTCCCTCGGGGCCACGAACCGTGTGAGGGGTGTGCCGAAATGGTCGGGGCGGCCGCATGTGGACCCTGCCATTGGGGCCTTCGGTGGAGCTCCCTCGGGGCCACGAACCGTGTGAGGGGTGTGCCGAAATGGTCGGGGCGGCCGCATGTGGACCCTGCCACTGGGGCCTTCGGTGGAGCTCCCTAAGGGCCACGAACCGTGTGAGGGGTGTGCCGAAATGGTCGGGGCGGCCGCATGTGGACCCTGCCACTGGGGCCTTCGGTGGAGCTCCCTAGAAGCCCACGAACCGTGTGAGGGGTGTGCCGAAGTCGTCGGGGCGGCTGCATGTGGACCCTGCCACTGGGGCCTTCGGTGGAGCTCCCTAAGGGCCACGAACCGTGTGAGGGGTGTGCCGAAATGGTCGGGGCACGAACCGTGTGAGGGGTGTGCCGAAATGGTCGGGGCGGCCGCATGTGGACCCTGCCACTGGGGCCTTCGGTGGACGTCCCTAGGGACCACGAACCGTGTGAGGGGTGTGCCGAAATGGTGATGAGAATGA